GAGCAGCGATCCAGCACGCAACTTTCTGAGCCACCAGTCCACACACGAAGAGCGCGATTCAGCCCCGGTATAAGAGTCGCGACCAAAATATGCCCTACTGCCGGCTTGGTGCTCGGCCCAAGGCCCGGGGAGCTAGAATAGCCCCCTTTCCGCCACTCCGTGACACAAATTTTTACGTAAATCGGCTCTAACCTTGGATCTATTGGAGCCACAGCTCCCCGATTTCGCCTGTACATTACTCTAGTAAATCTGTGACACCACCAGGCGCTTTCATCCACAACTTGGCCGCAGCCACAACTCGTCCCTAGGTCACTCACGTTGACGGAACTTTTTTTAAAACCTGTGTGCTTCGGTGTACGAGGGGAGTATTAATTTCTGATCTGATAAATAGGTTTGGGCGCTCTTCGATAAACCCTTCCTATACCGAACCGCCCTTCTCTTAACATTAGTGTCATAAGTGGGATTGGCAAGGAGTTTTCAAAGATCTTCATAGCAGCCCTCCGCCGCCGCTCCGCCTTCACTATGCCGCGCGCCAGTGGCTCACCGTGAGCTGCTGTGAATACCTATAGGTCTTTCGGAGGCCTGGGTTATACAAGGTAGACGCACGTTAAAACCGTGTGAAGCTGAGCTAAATGTGCGTCTACCTTGGCCTGCGGCGCGCTAAAATTAAAATGTTTTCGCGATTTTGGTTGGCCTGCCTGTCCACCTCACATCCCACGTCTCACGCCAGGCGCCTCACTTCACGCCGTCTTCCGGGCGGTCTCCCCTTGCGCTTCCTTACAGAGCTGAGCATTTAAAGTTAAAGTTTAATTTTAAGTTCAAGTTAAGCTCAGCAATGACCATGACCATCGCAACCGTAGCCGTACCCGGGGCCGCAGCAGTCAGCGCCAGGATGGACCGGACAACCGGGACGTGCTGGCAGGCGTGGGCGTGTCCGTCCGTGGACCTGCAGGAGCGCCACACCGCCGCGCTAGAGCGGATCTCCGCGATGGACCTGCACCGTCGAGGTGACGATAGGGCTAGAGTTCCTACGTTCGACGGCACACGGTCTTGGACCGTATTCGCTGCCCAATAGACTGTTCCCGCTGTGCCCATTTCATGAAGAATTACGGAAATGGGAACCGGAAACACATCTGAAATTACGGTAAAAACTAGTGCAAATGAACCTTCATTTTTACATGGACTTCCTCGAGATCATTTAAGTGAAAAGGCCGAGGGCCGAGTTGTGGATGAGATCGTCTGGAAGGTAAGCGGGCCCGCCATACATACTCGCCGTGCGCCCCCGACTTGTTTGTAACTTGTGGGTACCTTGGGACGAGTTGTGGCTGGGGCCCAGTTGTGGATGAGAGCGACTGGAGGGTAGGCGGGCCCGCAATACATACTCGCCGCACGCCTGCGGTGGTACCCAGTGACCCTTGGGACGAGTTGTGGCTGAGGGCCCAGTTGTGGATGAGAGCGACTGGAGGGTAGGCGGGCCCGCAATACATACTCGCCGTGCGCCCCCGACTTGTTTGTAACTTGTGGGTACCCCTGGGACGAGTTGTGGCTGGGGCCCAGTTGTGGATGAGAGCGCCTGGTAGGTAGGCGGGCCCGCCAAACATACTCACTCACCGCACGCCTGCGGCGGTACCCAGTGACCCTTGGGACGAGTTGTGGCTGAGGGCCCAGTTGTGGATGAGAGCGACTGGAGGGTAGGCGGGCCCGCAATACATACTCACTCACCGCACGCCTGCGGCGGTACCCAGTGACCCTGAGGACGAGTTGTGGCTGAGGGCCAAGTTGTGGATGAGAGCGCCTGGAGGGTAGGCAATTCTTTCAAAAGGTGTTTGGGGCCCCCTGGCCCTGGGCCCCATTGCGTTGGTTTTTACGCATCCGGGGCCTTTCGGCTCGTCACGGACTATGTGCAGAGCACGTCCTTACCTTCTGGTTACTTCCTGAAGGCTTTGGATTTCATATTACCCGAATATTGGTGTTCTATAGTCGGGTCGGATTAAGCTGACTCTGGCCGCCGGGATTGTGGCCACAAGTAGGGACGTGTCACAAACACCGTCTAGGTATCACTTTAATGAACACTCCCCGACGTGATATCACGGAGTACAATGGTGATATCGGAGGCATCATATCCTGAAAGTATGTTCCGCCATTCGCCCTATCTAAAGTTCAGTTCAGCCCCTGCTACCCTCATAGCGCCTGATGGGTAGGCAACATCTTGCCAGCAGTGCATGCCTGTACTGCGGGTTGGCCTACCCGGAGTCTCGCAGGCGCCGAGCTGCCAAATTGTCGTTGCTCGTCCCCCCCCCTTTCCCGACTCAAAGTAGGCAGGCCGCACCACGGACCGCACCTACCCAGCGAGCAATCGTCAATCAAAATTACATCAAAATGACGTCAAATGACGTCAAAATGACGTCAAATTGATGTAAATTAATTGACCATTGCTCGCTGGGCTAGCGTAGCGAGGATTAGTGAAGGAGCGGCCGGCCGTATGCCTATGTCTGATAAGAGTCTAGGGTTCCAGCCGTCGCCGCTGGAGCGCGCCACAAGATGTACGATAAACTGACATGAGGGGCTTTGACCACGGAGTACTTTGACGCCTGGTCGGGGACTGTCTCTTTCTTAGCCCTGTATGCTAATTTTTGTTAATACTTCTTACAATTTCAGAGAAAACAACAGTAATCTTGCAAAAACTCAGTCATTTTGAGCAAACATGGCTTGCTCGAGCATTATAGTCCCAGAACTAGAGCTTAATTTTAACACTTCGCTGGGCATATCATACTGGCGGTTCTGCGAGTATTTCAAACTGACCGCGGGTAAGTTACACCATATAACAAATGAAGTTGGAAACGTTTTAAGGTTATGGTTTCGTGTGTTTCGTCGTCGGTTCCCCTCACTTGTGTTTTTAACTGATATTGATCAAGATTTATTGACTTTTGATCATGTTTGTACGAACGGCCGTTGTGAGGCTCCTCAATCAGTCGAGAACAATGATTGGCACAAGTGAACA